ACTTTCGAGACATCTTGCATGAACGATGTCAGCCAACTGAGGAAAAAATGGCTAATATAAAACAATATAATGTACACGTATGTATAACGTAACACAATCATGCCGATTACATCATCTTTCCTTGCCGAATATAAAAATGAGGCACGTGCATTCTTGTGAATTACAGTATATTAACACTGGCACAGCAGGAACACATATAATTACCGTATCTCTAAAACTTGAACTAATATTGAAAAAATAAGTTTCATTCCGGTTGTAGCACATTAAAAATAGTAATATTTTGTTGATTTTATTTAGGATATTTTTTGGCTGTTGGTCAGTGATTTTCAGCACCCCTAATCCTACAGTTCGGCTTGTTAACGTAACCTCCCAGATGGAAATGGGCTTCGTCCGAAAAGCGACCAAAACTGACGTCCATTTCCGATTGATTTAGAACCGACACAGAGAAACGACATCGAAGCGATCGCACAATTTGCACCTTGTAAGGAAATAATCCCAGATATGCAATATTTTCCGCACAGAAGTGCGACTGATGCCACTTGTTGTGCCAGTCGCGAACGGAGTTTCATTCCGGCCAAATGATCTTTTCAATTTACGCAAAGTTTTGAAACACAACACTCTCTATGAAAATGGTTTTTCAATATCTGACACCTTTGTTCAAGATTAAAACGATCCATTGCTCGCAGCGGAAGTATGACACAATATGTTGAGCATGGAAGTGTTACCAACTGTCAAAATAATACCAACCTAAAAAAACGACTGATGGTCCACCCTTTAAATATGATTCAATGTTTGATCTTGGAACCTACCTTCATCAAGGGCAGCTTTTTGGCTGTTACAAATACCTATTTGCAGCAAATTGTTCATGCTTTTGATTTTTACCATCTGTTTTATCAGCGTCTTGTAGAACTTCGAATTTCGCTGTATTTTCACTTGAAACTTAAAAAAGGTAGTCCGATAGATGATTTAAAATGAAGCACGCTTGTCTAGAACATTTTTCCCCAAAGCACTGTATTGTTAGCAGTTATTTTCACCATTATTTCCACCGCCATCGGCCATATGACGTTGACATCTGTGCATATGTCATGTATGAGGAGGCGCTTGCCTGCGGTGTTGCCGGATTGGGCTCCGCATTTCGGGGAAAAATATGAAAAGTGGAAAATTTATAATACATATATTAATTAATCAAACACAAAAACTGAAACAAACAACAGTAGCAAAATAAAAAGCGACTCTTAATAAGTATAAAACAAAAAATAACGATAGTAAGCTAAAAAACAATAAATTGTCAATACTTACAAAAAATAAAAAGTAGTAAAACAAAAAAAACTATTCCATGTGATTATTAAAAACAAATAACAAACATTAAAATAAAAAGCATTTTTTTATAATTACATGGAATGGAATGATAGGTATCATGGAACTCAAGAAGGCCATAAAGGCGTTCTACAATTGTAGGAACGACTGACGATACGGCCCTTAAATGTGATTCAACACTTAACAATGTAAAAAGATTTTAAGTTAGATATATTCTCTCTGTTCACGACCTGTTACCAATACACTTGTGTTTCATCAAAGAATATTTATGTCTGAATTTCTTGTAGCACACCTCACAAGCATAAGCTTTTTCGTCTATGTGGACGACCATATGATTGTTCAACGTTGACTTGTGCCTAAAAGTCTTCATGCACAGTGAACATGAATACGGTTTTTCACCGGTATGAATCCTCTTATGGTCTTCTAAATTACCATAACTACAAAATCTTTTATCACAAATATCACACTTGTACGGTTTAATGCCTTGATGGATATTCATGTGACAATTCAATCCTGCCCTCGAGGATAGTTTCCGGCCGCATTTATCGCAAACATTGTTTTCGTTGTGGCAATTATAGAAATGTTGGTGCATCCTCCTTCTGGATCTGAAAACTCTGTCACAACGTGAACACTTGTGCTGTTCATCGCCATGACTATCCACCAGATGTACTTTCAGAGACCGATGGCTAGACAAATCCTTCTTACAAATGTCACACTGGAAATTGATCGTTTCGCGATGTCTATCACTTTGGTCGGGATGTTCAGAAGAGTCGTGTTCTTTGAGCAACGCTTTTAGCTTGAATCTTTTTCCACATAAATCACATTCGTACGGATGGATATATTTGAAATGGTTTTCCAATCGCTCTTCGGTTTTGCACACCTTAGGGCACTCTGGACATTTATAAATACATACTTCCGGATGCATAAAATATCTATGCTGTTTTACCAGTTCCCGTGTTTTATATACCTTGTCGCATACATCACATGGGAACACATGGGCCTGTTTGTGATGACCAGAGAATTGCTCTATCGTCTCGAATGTTTCTGGGCATTCGGTGCAAACCCATTGTGGTTGTACGTCTTTAGTGTTAATGCTTACTTCTGAGATACACGAGAAAGGATCTCCGTCATCTTGGTATACTCTGAAAAAATCTTGATATTATAAACGATCAAAAGAAATATTGCTAAAAGTTTATAATGAGCCATATTCATAAAACAAAGGATATCCTTGTAATGGGTGATTTTTTTGCTAGTATCTTTTTGGCAACACTGTTTTTGACAGATGACGCGTGAATCGTGTCTCGTGTCATTGTCAAACTTGTTCAGTTTGGTCTATAATTTAAGCATGAATCGACTTACGAATGAACAACGCTTGCAAATTATTGAATTTTACTATCAAAATTCGTGCTCGGTTAAGAGAGTGCATCGAGCACTGCTTCCAATTTATGGACAATTTGGTCGGCCTACTGAGGGAGCTATTCGGAAGCTTGTGACTAAATTTCGAACCCAGTTTACATTATTGGACATTAAACCACGTTTGAACTGGAAAAAAACGTTTAATTATTTTTTTTGTTATAAATGATACGTATTACATATACGTCTATTTACAAGTTTTGGTAAATATTATCTCCAACAACAACATACTCCTGCGGGGTTATTTCGTTTAATGCTTCGTTTAAATTTTTTAGCTTGGCAGAGTAATATTGTTGTTTAAGACGAGCAACTTTCAGTTGTTCAACTAAAACTAATCGTTGAAGCTGGGTTGTCGTTAACTGCCTCGTCTCGTCAGACCCGTGTTTGCCCGAAGCAAAGGTAGGCTTCGGAGGAATTTTTTTTCAACCGATGTGTAGGATCGCTTATTATTAGCTACTACTTGAGGCATAATCATCTGATGAGCGTCGTTTTCCACCATAATGTCATCCTTTGAAGTGGGTAAAGAAGGTTGACTTGCCACGCCAATTTCAAAAGCCCCTTATAAAAATATACATGCATGATAAGTATCTACAAGGTAATAGTAAAGACCTGAAGCTATTTCTCACCTGGTACCCGACTTAGTATAGGATTTATGTCCGCATCCATAGCCCTCAACATAACTTTCTCCCAGGACAAAAGACGAATGGGCTTGTTCCCTGTTTTATTTTTGTCAGTTTTATTTTTCAGTCGCGTTTTCATATTGTTCACTTTTTTCATAAAAGCTTTAATATCCATCTCCTTGCCAAATAAAGTAACGTATTCCTTAACGATATCAGTTAATGCAGCAGTTTTCTTCTTTTTCATTGCTGGAAATGCTTGGACTTTTTCAGCGATAAACATCATCTCGTTAGGGGCATCTTCGGTAACTTCCTGTTCACTATCGGTGTCAGACATTTTAAATATTTTATTCACTTTAAAATAGCTGCACAAATAAGTTAGACGGATCTTCTTTACAGCAATTGACGTGCGAACTGCTTTTAATTACGAGACAAATAAGATCAACCCCATCAGTTACAGACCACACACGCGTTGACTGCACGCTGCAAGTCATATCTTGTCGAAATCGCTAATCTCCGTACCTTTTACTTTATTTTCCCGAAGCATTTGCATGCAAGGAGGAGGTAGAGATTATGAATACGAATTAGAACAAAACCTTTTACTTCTACCTTTTACTTCAAAGTAAATATGTTTATAAATACGGGCTATTGGCTCTAACTAACTCCAACTAACAATTATTAAGGTCGCAGGAAGGTTTATACAGTCCTCACACAACAATGTGTCTTGCAAGAGGTTTGGAAAAACGTTGTTAGAACATCTATACATAAAGCGTGGATACACCTAATAAGACACTATAGGTGTTAAAAAAGTAACTATTCGTTACTCTTAGACACCAGAAGTAACGACTATCAATCCGAGCACGAAATGATTACTTTCTTATCTTTTTAATGACTCCCTCGAAGAAAAAATGTTACATAGAAGACCCCCGTTGAAATGCGGTCCTGTGTATGATGTTTCATTTTTGGTCACGATTTGTGAATTACCCTATACTAAGATCAAAAACATTGGACCTAAGGAGTTTCCGAAATGTCCGAATCGATTACAGATTAAAACAACGCACGAACCGCGCACGGCGGCGGGTGGCGGATGAGCGGTACCGCGGGGAAGTGCCTTACGGAAACCGTCGCGGATGGCTGGTTGCTAAATAAAACCATTTAAACTGGGTGTTCGGATTTATATGTCACTTAGTATAGTTATTTTTACATTTTACAGATAGTTGCAATTGGCGCTCATTGACAGACGTGTTGCCAGCGGTATGTATTGTTTTGGCTGAATAATTCAAAAACTAAATTTTTCTGCAGTTAGCGGACTCTATTACAATGCGCGCTGTAGGTAGACGAAGAAAAATGTGCATATTATACCCCAAATTGGGCATAAATGTCAGATAGCAGGTATTGTCAGATGTCCGAAGAAAAATAAAAAGGATTTGCCGTTAAAAAAAAACGGTTGGTCTGCTTTCACTTTTGGGATACCCTGTATATCAAAAAACAATTATTTATACTACAACTTTTTTTTAATTTCCTATAAGGAATCTATGGTACTCTTTCTCAAAACTTTTTTTTGTGACATTCATCATTTTTCCCAGGCTGAAAAAAGAAATTAAATATTTGTTAATTAAAAATGTTTATTAAAACTATGCATACATTTTTTTTTTGTTCATTCACTTTCAGAGCCTTCGTTTGATCCGTAGTCTGGCCCGCGACACTTATGGTTATTCAGCACGGTTTTGCTTATAAAACATTTGGAGCACACTTCGCATTTGTAAGGCCTCTCGCCAGTGTGTATCCTCATATGTATTTTCAGCGGCGGTTGTTGTCTGAAACGTTTCTCGCAAAAAGTACATTTATAAGGCTTTTCGTCACTATGGATCCTTTTATGTATTGTTAAATTACCGTGATTAGCGAATCCCTCATTGCATACATCACACTGGTACGGCTTGACGCCTCTGTGCATATCCATATGGAGACGCAACGTTATCTTGGATGATAACACCTTGCCACATTCATGACAAACAACCGTCTGTTTCTTCGATTTGTGGCTTGCATACTTGTGCCGTCGCATGGCGTCATTCGATTTGAAAACTTTCTCGCAATGTAAGCATTTGTGTTGTTCGTTGCGATGTTTCTCCACAATATGAACTCTCAGAGACGGCTTAGTTACGAAGCCTTGCTCGCAAATATTGCACTTCAATAGGATCTTGTCGTGTTTTTTCCTGTGGTGATCCAGCATTTGAGCCTTTGACATGAAGCCCTGTCCGCACCGCTCACACGATATTTTGAAATTTTTCAGATGGATGCGTGTGAGATGAGAGTTCAAATTTACAGTCGATTTGAATATTTTGCCGCACAGGTTGCATTTATGATCGGGTCGGTCCGTGTGCAACTTTTCTTTGTGCAGTTTCAACGTATACGCTTTCTGGAATCTCTTATGGCATAAATCACATTCATGATTGCGCTCGTTTGAGTGAACCACCATTCTGTGTTTTGCAGCCACGTGCTTCAACTTGAACTTCTTGTCGCACACGCCACACGGGTGTGTGTAGTCTTTATGGACGTTTTTTCTGTGAGCTCTCAAAAGGATATTTCTTGCAAAGGTTTTAGAGCACACCGGACACTTGTATTCCACGTGATTGTGAGTTTTCTTTTTATGAGAATTTAAGAGGCGTTTCGTTTCAAATGTATCAGCGCACTCTGGACAATTATAAGTGACTCGAGTGTGAGTTTTCTTTACATGGGAAGATAAAAGACTTTTTGCTACAAAGGTCTTGGGGCATTCCACGCACATAAAATGATTATGTTGTTTATGTTCCTCTAGCAAACACGATGAATTGAATCTGCTTCCGCATACGTCGCATTTGAATGGATGGAAGTACTTCATGTGGTCCATCAAGCGTTGTTCAGTCTTGAACTCATCAAAACATTCCAGGCATCTATAAATGCAATCGTCCGCGTGTTCGAATTGTTTATGTTGCTTCAGCCATTCTAGTTTCTTGTACGCCTTCTTACATACATCGCATGGATACACGTCAGGTCCGTGAACTTGTCTATGATGTTCTAACACTTGGTCTATTGTATCGAAGGTTATTGGGCATTCTGGACAAACCCACGAAGGTTCTGTATCTGAAGAGATGTGTACGTCTTCTTGTTTTACACTGAAAAAGACCTTAATGAAATATTTGGCAATACGGGAAGGAAGCAATTTATTGAAAATTTGTACAGCACTCACTTTGGAACCGTTTGCGATCGATTACCGGTTCGATAAGGGTGATGAATGACCGTAGCGCTGTTGTCATGTGTGCTTTAAATATTTAATTCAATGAAACTTACTTACTGAGTTGAACTTTTGGCTTACCTTAGAAAAACTTAATGCCATTTATTTGATAATTACCCAATTTAAAAACGTTTTAGATTAGATTATCTGTCAATATGTTGAGCATGGAAGTGTTACCGTCAAAATGACACCAACTTAAAAAAACAACTGGTGGCCTACCTTTTATATTAGGTCACGACAGACTTGTAGTGTTTTAATTCGGATTTTCACAACGTTTCGATTGACATGCTATCTTCAATCGTCTTCAGATGGACTTATCAATCAAAATGTTGGGATCTCAAAAATTGTATAGACGAAATAAAACCACCAAAAAACAAACAACAAATCGTACTATACACGGTGTTTCAGTTTATTGTTGCATAACTTTAAGATTCGATAGAACTTTTAAAATTAATGCATAAAGTCTATATAAACATGGGTCGAAAAATGCGTTGCTTCCGAAATACAGAGTGTTTAAATTTAGTTTTTAAAATAGTTTTTTTTTAAATATTTCGAACAATATTTGATGTATAACAGTGAAAATTGGTATACGAGGGTTTTTTGGTACGACAAAACGAACCATGTGCATAGTTTTACTGTAGCCGCTAGAGGGCGCTCTCTACTGTTCCTGTAGTGTATTAAAATGACCGAAAATTTTTTCTCAGTGCAGTTTTTTGCTTTTTGAATAAAAAAACTGATTCTTCACACCCTTCCACATAAAAAAGCTCTCCTGTGAGTTTTCGTTATAGTTAGGCGTTTTTGAGATATTGCGATTTTTAAGGTTCGATGCATTTTTAATTATTTATGATAAAATAACGTTAAAAAGTCAGTATCTCGATAATTTTTAGAAGTAGGCTGTGCCTGCAAATATTTTTGAAATTGAAAGCAGAATGAGGTTAAACGTCAATTAGTTGACAGTTAGTTTTGTTGTCTGTTGAAACCTGAAGCGTTTTTTTGCAATTTTGAATGCACGAAATTTAGTTTCTTTTACCTGTTTTTTTTGTAAGTTTTATAAAAATGCCATTTTTATTCTCCAATCAAGAGTTAACGGATATTCATTTTGTGTATGGTTTTGTAAATGGAAACGTAGTAGAAGCAGCCAGAGAATACGCACGAAGATTTCCAAACAGACGACATCCAACTCGCTCAGTATTTGTAAGAGTGCATCGCCAAATAATTGAAAATGGTTTTGGAAATCTCCACAGGGATCAAAACATAAATGTTCGTCAGCGCAGATTTACCCGTATGATTCTGCGTGAGTTTGATAGAGATCCGACCACAAGTGTTAGGAGAGTTTCTGGTGCCTTGGGAATTTCAGCAAGCCATGTCCACCGTGTTCTTAGAAATGACCATAGACGTCCTTACCATTTGCAACCTGTACAAGGACTACAGCCAGGGGACGGAGAACGAAGAATCACATTTTGTCAGTGGATTCTTGATAGAACTGATAATAATAGGGAGTTTTTAAGTAACGTTTTATGGACCGATGAGTCATGCTTCACTAGACGTGGAGTGGTAAATTTTCATAATCAACATATTTGGTCGCATGAAAATCCGCATGCAGTTCGGGAAAGAAATTTTCAGCATGAATTTGGTGTGAACGTGTGGATTGGTATCTACCGTAATCGACTATTTGGACCCTACCTATTGCCTGCAAGGTTAAATGCTGCGACCTTCTTGGAATTTTTAAAGGCTGAACATGGAAATATGTGGGATGATGTTATGTTAGATTTAAGAAGATTGGCCTGGTTCCAGCTTGATGGTTGTCCAGCTCATTATTCGAGAATAGTTAGAAACTGGCTGGACGAAAATTATCCAGAAAGATGGATCGGCCGTGGAGGACCAGTCGCTTGGCCTCCACGATCCCCTGACCCAAATCCATTAGATTTCTTTGTGTGGGGATTTCTAAAAGAAAAAGTGTACCAGACTCCCGTAACCACAAGAGATATGCTAATAGACAGAATCAGGAATGCATGTGATGAAATAAGGCCTTATTTGAATAATGCTATACCACGTTCGATCATTCGTAGATGTGAATTGTGCATTGAACAATTGGGTTTACATTTCGAGCAACTACTTTAGATTTTGTATGTTTGTCCTAACTATCCAATAGCATTTTAGTTGTAAATAATTAATTTAATTTTTTAAAAATAATATTGAAAAATTAAACAAATTAATATTCTGTTTTTTTGTGTTTATTTGGAGTTAGGAATTATTGCTGTGTTTAAAAACACAATCTAAACGATCATCTTAATTACTTGTAATGCCCAAATCGAAAATGTAAAAAAAAATATTATTTTCCCATAAATAATTAAAAATGCATCGAACCTTAAAAATCGAAATATCTCAAAAACGGCTAACTGTAACGAAAACTTACAGGAGAGCTTTTTTATGTTGAAAAGTGCGAAGAATCAATCATTTTTTTTTTATTCAAAAAGCAAAAAATTGAACTAAGAAAAATTTTTCGGTCATTTTAATACACTACAGGTACAGTAGAGAGCGCCCTCTAGCGGCTATAGTAAAACTATGCCCATGGTTCGTTTTGTCGTACCAAACAACCCTTGTATACCAATTTTCACTGTTATACATCAAATATTGTTCGAAATATTAAAAAAAAACTATTTTAGAAAGTAAATTTAAACAGCCTGTATTTCGGAAGCAACGCATTTTTCGACCCATGTTTATATAGACTTTATGCATTAATTTTAAAAGTTCTATCGAATCTTAAAGTTATGCAACAATAAACTGAAACACCCTGTATAGTATTAACCACGATACACGTGAACTGCAATAACGTTACGACAATCCTGCCGCTGGTAACCAAGAGCCGACAACTCTCCGGGTGACGTCACGTCACATGCGCAATATCCTATCTTCAGTGTATGCATATCGTGGGGTGGTACAGAGATCCCTAGATGCATTTACCTTTAAAATCACATCTGATTCAATAAGGATTAAGTATTTACAGAATAGCTATTGAAAAACGTTTATTAACGCTATGATACATAATTTCAAACAATTTTCATTTACTTTCAGAATCTGCGCTTGACCCATAGACTGGTCCAAGACACCTATGTATTTTTAACTTATTTTTGTTTATAAAACCTTTGCAACATGTTTCACATGTCATTGTCAATGCTGACCGTTGCTGAACGTTTCTCACAGAAAGTGCATGCAAACGCCTCTTCACCTGTAAGGACCCTTTTATGGTCTGTTAAAGTACACTGCGTAATGAATCTCTCATTGCATATGTCACACTCTTTTAATACCTTTACGCATATTCATGTGGTAATTAAACGAGGTTCGAGATGATATTGGCTTGTCACATTCGTGACGTCTAATGTTTGTGGTTTTTACGTTTGTGCGCCTCCAGGGCCGTTTTGGATTTGAGTACCTTCGCGCAATCTGAGCATTGGTGTTGTTCGTTGCCATGTTTTTCCACAATATGACTCCTCAGCCTGTGCCTGCTTAGATACGCCTTCTCACAAGTCCCGCATTTCAACAGGACCTTGTCGTGAATTCTTCTATGGTGGTCCTTCATCTCGGCCTTGTTCAGGAAGCCTTGTCCGCACAACGCACACGATATTTTGAAATTCTTCAAATGGATACGGGTGAGATGATAGTCCAAACTCGCAGTCGATTTGCATATTTTGTCGCAAAAATTACATTTATAATCAGGTCTGTCCGTATGCAATTCTTTATGCCGTTTCAACGAATACACTGTCTGGAATTTCTTATGGCATATATCACATTCATGATCGCGATCCTTCGTGTGAACCGGTCCATGGACTTTCTTTTGATGGGTATTTAAAAGATGTTTTGAAGCGAACATTCTGGAGCACAACGGACATTCGTAATCTTCTTGAAGATGAGCTACCTGCACATGGCATGATAGAACACTTTTTGTTGCAAAGGTCTCGGAGCACGTCGCGCAGACAAAATGTTTATTTTGTTTATGATCCTTTAAGAGCAACTTTAACTTGAACCTTCTTCCGCATATGTCGCACTGGAATGGATGATAGTACTTGATATGGTACAATAAACGTTGTTCTGTTCTGAACTTCTCAAGGCACTCTACACAGTTATAGATGCAATCTTCCGGGTGCTCGGATTGCTTATGGTGTTTCAGGAAGTCTGATTTTTTGTACATCTTGCCACATACATCGCACGGATAAACGTCGAAGCCGTGAACTTGACTATGGTGTTTCAGCATTTCCACTATTGTGTCGAAAGTTGATGAGCATTCTGGACAAATTCTCAAAGGTTCTGCATCTTCAGAAAGGACACCTGTGTAGTCTTGTATTGCACTGAAAAAGGTGGTAATGAGATATTTCGTTACTACAGGGTGTAAACGTTATGATAGTCATTATTGAAATGGGTAATAGCAGCCGGCCTATGCATTAATAAATTCTTTTTTATCTGAAAGGATGCAGCGCGTGACTTTGGACGGGGTGCCCCAGGGCAGTATTTTGGGTCCATTATTGTATAGCCTATATACTTTTAATTTCATGAAGTCGCTGAGTTATTGTTAATATCATCTTTATGCTGACGACACTCAAATTTAAGCCTCTTTTAAACCTGATCTGTCAGAACTTATAACAAACCGACTGAATACCGACTTGAATAGCCTTCTCAAAACCTATGAAGATCACTTGTTAAAGATAAGCCCTAGTAGATCGACGGCTATATTGTATTGTAGTGTTTCCTGCAGAAACGTATTAGAAAATAATATTAAGCTCTAACTAGGGGACAATATATCATTTAGGGATTCCGTGAAGGATTTGGGCTTAGTGGTTGATTCTAAACTTAAGTTTAGAGAGCACATTACTATGTGCCTAAGAAAAGCATATTCAATGTTAAAAATCATTTACTCCCATAGACATTACCTATCACAAGATATACTAAGTGACATATAAATCCGAACACCCTGTTTAAATGGTTTTATTTTAATAAAATTTTGTATAAGTACTTAATGAAGCATAATAAGTAAATGATAAAAATTTCAAAATGATTGCACTGCTTTAAAACCCTTTGACCTTTAATAATGTGTGGATGCACCCTGATGTGCTACGCATTCTCCATCGCGCCTAGGCATGCTTCTGATCAGGTGGTCAATGTCCTCCTGTGGTATCTCATTCCAGGCAACCACCAACTCCTCTCGAAGTGCTTCTAGAGTCTGAGGAGGACGTTGCAAATTGAGCAATCTCCTACCCATCATATCCCACACGTGCTCCATTGGGGATAAGTCGGGAGATCTTGGTGGCCATGGTAACAATGTGACATCATTATGTTGAAAGAAGTTTATTGTGACTCTTGCAACATGTGGTCGGGCATTACCTTGTTGGAAAGTTGGATCTGCCAGGGTGTCAAGATAGGGTAAAAGATGGGGTTCTAGAACTTCGTGGATATAACGCTGCGCGTTCATGTTACCTCTGATGAAGATTAAAGGTGACCTGGAACCATAAGCTATAGCACCCCAAACCATAACTCCAACAGTGTGATGAACATTTCTTTCAACAAAAAACTGTGGATTCCTCCTTTCACCACGTCGCCTTCTAACCCTGGCACGACCATCGTGCATGCCTAAACAAAATCGAGACTCGTCACTAAAGACAATACTGTTCCATTCCTGATCCCAGAGTGACCGTTGTCTATACCACTCAAGGCGATTACGTCGGTGTTCTCGAGTTAAAGCGAGGACCCAGTGTGGCCGGTATGAAAACAAGCCAAAACTTCTCATTCGTCGGTAAACACTTCGCATGCCAATAGGTCTTCCGTGTTCTGCAAACCATTCATTTGCAATGGACCTGGTAGTGGAGAAACGGTCCCTTAAGGCCAATAATCTTAGGCGGCGATCTTCACGGTCTGTTGTTCTACGGCGGCGTCCAGTGCCCCTTGCTCTTTGCGTACGGCCTTCTCGAAGCCATGCCTGATAACACCTAACCACAGTGTCTACACTTCTTTACACTCTAACTGCAATTGCCCGAAAAGAAAGTCCAGCTTCCCGAAGTCCCACTGTACGGCCCCTATCAAACTCACTAAGTTGACGATATCGTACAGGTCTCCGTACTCTAGGTATCGTAACCGATCGTAAAGGATGTCAAGAACCAAAATCCGCCAACGTTGATTCTTTACTGTGGCTGAAATATTCATTTTTAGAGCGTTAGTGAATTAAAAAAAAGCAGTATAATAACCGGAATGTCCAACTGATAAGGCTGAACATTTTTTCACTTGTTACTTACAGTAAGATAAATACATTCACCAACTTTTATTAAAATAAAACCATTTAAACTGGGTGTTCGGATTTACGTAATGCCACCTAGTATATAAATAAGTGTACTTCTGGCTCAAATCTTATCTCTGTAACAGAAAACAGAAAGTAATTTTGAACAAAACCAAAAAACGTATAACATCTGATTCTCGGACATACAGTACTGGTGTCCTTCAAGGTGGTGCACGAGGCCCAGCTTTGTTTATTATTTACATCGATAATATATTCACCACCACGAAATGAACGCAAAATGTGAGATTTGTCTAAACAGATGATATAACTACACTGCCACCCAAAAATAACCGGACAAACTAAATTTTGTTCAAATGAAATTTTAAATAACCTTTTAACCTTGCATCAGTTTCGTTAATTTTTTTCGTCAAGTTGTTATACAGGGTGCAACTAAAAGGTGCATTTTGCCCTAATCTTCTGAACACCCTGTGGAAACATTGGATTACTGAATAATGTGTCTTCGTATGAGAATTTTAAGCCTCAATTTTTCTCAACAGTTCTTTTTTCGATTCATGTTATCATCTCAATTATTGAAGAATATATGATGTTTTGAAGAAAATCATGCAAATCATAGTCATAAACAAGAAATAATAATGATAATAATAATAATAATAATAATAATAATAATAATAATAATAATAATAATAATAAATGACTGTATTGGATACAATGAATAATCTTTTTACAAAGGTAATTTAGAAAAAAAATACGGAATACATTGCCTAATATTCTAGCTTAAAGCTACTTTACTGAACCAAAATAAGTCAAGAATCTAAAACTATACCGATATTTTTTGTACTTTCAACAAAATTCAATTTTGACTTATTAGTCATTATATTGAGATTAGCTTTCAAAAACTCAGTCTTAATTTTTGTTACCAAAAATCATTACGTGTGATTTTTCCGGATTAAGTTTTAAGTTGTGACCTAATGAGAGATTGTTCTAGGTGTTAATGTCCTCATTTATACAATTTTCGTAATATTTGTAATCCTCAATATCAAAAAAACAATAAACGTGGGTGTCATCCGCGAAGGCCCGAACTTTACAAAACTTCAAAGACGTAAGGATATCAGACGTATAAATACAAACTAACAAGGGGCCCAATATTGATCCCTGAGGAACTCCCGATAGGATCTCCGCTTTGTCTGAAAATGTATCATTTGAAGAAATGTTTGTCCGGTTAACTCTGCCTGGCAGTGTATTTTGATTCCATATAAAGGAACGTCTGATATCCAAATATTGCACAAAAAAAATTAGTACTAAATATACAAAAAACGTGCTCTGTCCTATTTCAGTCAAGCCACGCGACCAAAGAACTACCCTTAGTAAATGAAGCTCAAAGTGATACAAACCTCTTAGTTGTCACATACGATAGCTATCTTAAGTTTAATAAGCACATTAAGAGCATGGCTTCAAAACTTAATTAAGCATGCTATGCAGTACTCACTTGTCTTCTACCCTTGCCAGCTGTGCAGACTGCTTGCTGCCTTATGTCTTACCAAATAAAAATTTGGCGTAATAGTTCCGCAGCAAATGGAATTTTTATCATACAAACGAGGATAATAAGAACCATGTTCAAAATGAAACCAAGAGAGTCATGTAGAGGTATATTTCAACTCAACAACTTACTAACATTGCCGGTAATTTATATCTATAACAACCTAACAAGTTTGAAAAAAAAAAACGTCTTCAATCACAGTTACAACACTACAAAGTAAGAAATACATCTCCATCCTATAAACAAAACTCTACAGAAAAATATAGCATTGAAACTGTGCAATGCTTTACAGCATATCTTCGATCCATTTACCTGACGATATAAAGGGATTGAGTTACATAAATAGTTATTTAACATAATTATTTTATGTTCCTAAACAATAATGGTTGTGGTACTTAAATAACGACATCGTAACTTTTCTGGATTTGAGGCGGCCATTTCACGGAATAGTCAATTCTACTATATAGCCACGACATTCAGGATGTCCTCAAAGTTGGAACTTTCCTCTCTAAAGCGTAAGCGCCAGGAGACAATAAGCATGTTTTTTAGTAAAATATGTACAAAAGCTTTAAAATAACCGAGATATCAGATTTCAAAAAGCAATAAATGAGCCAGTACGCCCCTGCCTATCTCCCCTCCAACAATCCCCTGCTACGTCAAAACTTATGTTGTTGTAATAAGATTATGTGGGTCAGTAACTTGAGAATCCGAGACCTGCACATTCCTAGAACAATGACGTAGATATCGATTTGAACATCTTCATAGTCCTACTGATACTCCGCGAGTGTACTCAGAACGCTGCCGTCGCCTTCGATCTTTCCGTCAGAGATGCATATGTATATTTATATCGTGTAAAAGCAGTCTGGTTGAACTCAGTTGAAAAATTGTTGCAAATTTAATAACATATAAGCAAACTCGAGCTTTTGAATCGAACAGGGACAACTTGAAACAGTGTTTACAAACAAAACATATGCACAGGCAGCACTGGAAATTCCTCATCTAATGAATAGTGAGTATTTTTCTTCAATTTCTTTTTTACGTTTTCGATGTTGCTTTGCCGCAAATTAGCTTTGCTCTGAAAAGGAAACTCTCAACTTTCAGGTCGTCCTGTATACGTGGCATTGTCACGCTCCAGGCGAATTAAAAAACAAGAATGGTTAAGTATTTACAAGCTGGATAATTCAGAACGTTCATTTAAACTATCATATGCGGTCTGTAAATCAAGATGATGAGACTGGCAACGTAGCGTTTGATCTGGCAGCACTGTAGATGCCGGGCTTGGAGGGGAGTCAGGGGAACATGCGATCCGCGTTCAGTACAAATTTGAACTCGCTCGAGTCATTTGGTTGTAGGGATTTTTTTTTGTTGTGAAACAGTTTTTTCTAGTGTGTTCTAAAATGAGTGGCAATCGATACATTTCACGAGTGTCGTTGTCGTTTGATCCGGACTGTGTCAGAACGAGTGACTAACTTCAGTTTACGTTTCATCCTTGTTTCACCTCAGGGTATTTTTATTTCAGTGGGACGTATTTTGGGGATATTCTTTACTGGGGAAACGTTTTACTGGGGAGGTATTATGTAAAATTTTATTAATGACATTGCAAAATGCACCTGGTGTGTTTAGCGTCATACGAATGTCGCTCAAAAAAATATTTTTAGATCTAAGAATAAGTAACAAATAGTAAACCTATGTTAACCAAAAATGAATGTTTTTTTTGGGGATTTTTTTAAACGTTTTTACGTACGTATGTATTTCATTTTTGAACTTAAGTGAATACATTGCACGCGTTAATATATTTTACGACTATGGCATCCACATCCTATAAAAGAAAGTGTTTAAAGTTGAGTGAGAAAGTGAAAATCATAGACGAAGTTGCACTAGGTGCGGGAGTGACACAGTTAGCAAAAAACTATGGAGTATCGGAAGCAACAATCTGTAAAATTAAGCGTATGAAAACTCAAATTTTACAAAGAACGTGCAATACATTTGGAGGTACGGGAAAAAGAAAACCTTTAAAAAATGCGAAGGCACCCAAAATGGAAAATTCCCTGTATAAGTGGTTTTTAAAACAACGGGAAAATCATGTCCCAGTTAGTGGCGAAGTACTTAAACAGAGAGCGAGACTGTTAAATGAAAAACTGAAAGAAACTGAAAATTTCGTAGCTAGTGATGGCTGGCTACAACTATTCAAAACAAGATATGGAATTCGACTGCTGTCTATATCTGGTGAAAAATTATCAGCACAACCACAATTAGTGCAACCATTCAAAGAAAAATTGATGAAAACAATTACCGCGCTAGATTTAAGAATCGAACAAATTTACAACGCAGATGAAAGTGGCCTTTATTGGAAAATGTTACCAGAGAAAACCTATGCTGCATCATTTGAAAAATCTGCCCCGGGAAGAAAGCCGGAGAAACAACGAATAACGTTTCTAGCCTGCACTAATGCTGATGGTTCACACAAAATAAAGCCACTGGTAATTGGGAAAGCAAAAAATCCGCGCTCATTTAAAAATGTTAATATCCCTGTTGATTATGACTGTTCAAAAACCGCTTGGATGACTAGCAGTATATTCCTGAAATGGTTCCACAGGTGCTTTGTCCTTCAGGTATCACAATCAATTATCACAAATGCTCTATTCATAATTTGAAGATGTGTTTCAATTTGTAGGTAAAAGGTTTCCTAAAACAACAGAAGCTTCCAATAAAAGCGTTGTTACTATTGGATAATGCACCAAGTCATCCTCCCGAGCAACAACTGAGAGCAGGGATGGGTCAATATTTTCGTCATGTACATGCCGCCCAACGTAACACCGTTAATTCAACCGATGGACCAGAATATAATAAGACTCACCAAACTATACTATAGCAAGTTTCTACTTTCGTCTGTCTTATCAAAGAATCCTGAAAACTTATCGGAGGCTCTAAAAAAAGTAACATTACGAGAAGCTGTTTTAGATTTACATATGGCCTGGAATGAACTTGACCAGCAAACTATTCAAAAATGTTGGAACAATCCCTTTGTACCAATAATGAAGATGATGAAGAAGACGATGTCCCCTTAAGCGTAATTAGAGAACGTTTGCGATCCAATAATGATAATGTTATTAGTGTGTCATTGGATGTTGTTGATTTATTGAAAACAGTGAATCCCAACATTGTTTGTACTCCTGCTGATATTAATTTATGGAACGAAGATAAGCAGACGAATGATGCTGATAAGGAGGAGGATATGGACAGTGAGGATGATGAGAACGATCCCATTGAAGTCAGAAGTGTAGTGACTGACGCGCAAGCTACACAAGTTTTTAACCAAGCTTTAGATTGGGCTGAAAGAAAAGAAGTTTCATAAACGGATATTTTAGTTCTTCGTAAATTACGGGCGCATGCATTGGAAGACAATGCTAAGCGCAAATTTACGCAGACAAAAATTGTTAATTATTTTTCTTCTAATTAAAAAAATACTTATCGCTGTTAGAATATTTGTTCATTTTGTTATAAATAGTATGTATTAAACGTTTCTTTTAATAAATCAAATATATAAATTACGTTCGCAATGTAAACATTTCGATAATGTGAACCACACTTGGATTAAATTAGTTTACATTATCGAGCGTCTGCTGTATATTCGAATACAAAGCATTAGTGTGCGACATCAAATGATTTTCTTTGTTTCATTCACTTTTTTGCTTGCTTAGGCGATAGTCTGGTCCAAGACACTTGTGGCATTTCACCCTAGACATGGTTATGAAATCCTTGAAACAAACTTTACATTTGTAAGGTCTCTCTCCAGTGTGCACCCTCAAATGTGTTGTCAATGATGACTGTTGTGTACACCGTTTCTCACAAAAAGTACATGCATAAGGCTTTTCACCTGTATGGATCCTTTTATGGCTTGTTAAACTGCCAGCTGCAGTGAATTTCTCATTGCATATATCACACTCGTACGGCTTAATACCTCTATGCATAACATTCATGTGACGTCTCAACACCGGCAAAGCTGAAAACAGCTTACCACATTCGTGACAAACATACGAGGTATCTTTTCTGTGGCATCGGTTGTGGATCCGCAGAGCCATTTTCGATTTGAAAACCTTCTCGCAATCCGGGCATTTGTGCTGTTCGTTGCCATGTTCCTCCGCCGTATGTTTGTTTACGCTATACTTGGTTAGAAATTCCTTCTCGCAAACATTGCACTGCAACGGTATCTTGTCGTGCTTTCTTCTGTGATGTACGCGCATTTCAAAATTTGTCACGAAGCCCTGCCCGCACACGTCGCACCAGAATTCGAAGTTTTTCAAATGGATACGTGTCAGATGAGAGTTCAAACTTTTAGTCGAATTGAATACTTTGTCGCATAAATCGCAGTTATATTCGGGTCTATCGGAATGCATCGCTTCTTTATGCAGTCTCAACGAATTTGCCCTCCCGAGCTTTTTATGGCATATGTCACATTCATGATTGAGTTTTTTCGATTGAGCTATCACTTTCTCCTGTTCTGATGCGGGCTTTAGCTTTAATTTCTTGATGCGTGAAAGAGCTCGGTGTATGTAGTCTGTTTGGACGATCTTTGTATGGGTATTTAAGAGATTCTTGGTTGTAAAGGATTTAGAGCACTGTGGACACTCCTTTATGTGGGAACTTAGGAGGCGGTCTGTTGCGAAAGTTGTAGAGCACTGCGAACATTTATAATGTTCTCGAACATGAGTTTGCTGTACATGGCAAGATAAAAGATCTTTCGTTGCAAAGGTCTCGGAGCACTCTTCACACACAAAATGTTTGTATCGTTCGTGGTCCTTTAAGAACATCGAAAGCTTGAATCTGCTTCCGCATACGCCACATTGGAAGGGATGGAAGTACTTCATGTGGTACGATAAACGTTGTTCTGTTCGGAACTTATCACAACATTCTGGACAGCTATAAATGCAGTCTTCGGGGTGCTCGGAGTGTTTATGGTGCTTCAGGAAATCTAGTCTTTTGTACGCCTTGCCGCATACATCGCATGGATAAATTTCTGAGCCGTGGACTTGTGCGTGATGGTCCAACATTTGATCTATTTTATCGAAAATTACGAAGCATTCCGGACAAGTCCAAAGAGGCTCTAGATCTTCATCAACGATGTCCAACGGAATATCGGCTTCCTCTTGTTTTATTCTAAAAAAAGATTTTGATGAGATATATGAATATACCTTGCAAATACGTTAATTTTATTGCAAGCTATAGGGACAAAAGAGTGAGACACGATACAGGTGGGCGGATTAATAACCTGAAAATTAGTTGTTGGGTAGGTGTTGTTACGAGGGATGTCTTTTAAGTTTTGCATATAGAAACATAGGGGATCGAACGTCAGTACTGAATCTTAACCTCACTCTTTAGTAAACTTAAATTCAAAGTTTCACAACAATACGCGCAGTGTTCTCACTACAGCGAATTTTTAAGTGTCGCCAAGTCATTAGAAAAATGGAACTCAACCGAGAACATTTTCGCGCCATAATTTATTACAACTTTCAGAGACAATTATCGCAACCAGAATGCCTTGCTGAGTTACTGTCTGTTTTCGGCAACGCAGCGCCACATCAATCGACAATTTCCCGTTGGTATGGGGAATTCAAACGGCTGTTTGGGTGTTCCAAGGCGAAGAAAAGCCAACTAAAATCATCCGTTCTCGAAGAGTTTCGAAAAAGATGGTCGCGACATTTGTGTCAAAAGCGGGTCATATTGCAACAATTCCTCTTAATGAGCAAAGAACTTTTACTGCGGATTGGTATACCACCATTTGTTTGCCAAAAGTCATCACCGAGCTTCGAAAAATCAACACCGAAAAAAGAATCATCCTCCACCAAGACAATGCAGGCTCGCACACAGCCCAAAAAACAAGGCAGTCCTTAACGTGGAATTATTGGACCATCCTCCATATGCTCCCGATCTAGGTCCTAACGATTTCTTTACTTTCCCGCAAATTAAAGACGCACTCAAAAATGCCGTTTTGGATCTGCCAGCAAACGAGTGGAATAAGTACTTCGAAAATTGGTTCGAGCGCATGCAAATGTGTATTAATCTTCGTGGATAATACTTCGAAAAACAATAAAGTCATTTAAAACTACCTGCCGTGTTGTTTTATTTCCATATGCAAAACTTACAAGACATCCCTCGTATAAATTATCTTACATAAAAATACTTTTTTTCTGTGACGAGGAAAAAGTTTGACATTTTATCTCTATTGACTTTTAACAAAATGTCACTTTTCATGAAGTTACTTTTTACCCCGGGAAAAAATGAATACTTTTTTCCCGGATATTGCATAAACATATAAGCAAAGGTAGATATTTAATTTTAGAATATTTTATTATACAATAAAGTTACATTATATCAAAAGTACAATTATTAAATGGGCATTGCATGAATATATGTTTTTCTGCTGTCACAACTCCCGTTGATGTACTTGGTCGCAAATCCGGAGTTATTTCAGCACTACCACACGTTCTATCCAAACATTTTATCAGCTATTTCTGTCCTGTGTGCTGCCGATTCGTCAACATACCCTTCAGCGACCGTTAATGACTTCCGACCGCCATGTTTCTTTAGTGTCATCGAGCCTCCCCCAAATTCAACTAAAAGTGTAGCATACGATCTTCGAAATGAATGACCTGTATAAGAGTTACCATTTTCAAGTTGAATAAAATTAGCCACTGTTTCGGGAGCCTTATAAAACTGGCTTTCACCCACAACCTGATTGATACATTTCCCATTGTGATATGCTTAAAAGGATCGTTTTTAATAACGTTCCCGAATCTTCATCATCTAATGTTACCTGGCTGATTTCACAAATTCGACAAGCTCCTGCAATCCCAAATACAACAAGCCTTGATTATTAAATAAACTTCATCGGGAGCATTATTTAAAAAACACTTATTTGTGTACTCGCAGCTTTCTTGGGCTTGTAACCTTTCCCATTTTGTTTTAGAAATGTAATTAGTTTGAAATATTTTTAATGTCTACGTTATTATTGCATCGGAACATACTTTTAATCATCTAATAATTCGACCACACTGTTGATGACTTTTGCTGTCTTAATGGCCCATCCTGTATATAGAAATAGTAACATTAACTGAATAGTGAATATACAGGGTGTCCGCAAAGTTGGGGTTTTCCTTTTCAGAAACAACTACCTTTGAAATAACAAAGGTAATGTGTAGTGAAACGAGGGCGACCAAGTAAAAAAAAATAAAGGAAAAAGTACTCACTCTCCAGTTGACGAGAAGGGCTAAGTACGTCTCTGCCCGAAATCATACCGCTCCAACAGAAAATGAAATCAGCCGATGCGCTACCGAGCAGACGCAGAAACCACATTGATTGTCTTAACTTAATGGCACATCTTCTAACAAGGAAGGCAAAATGTTGCGTAAAAATTCTAGGTATTGCATCCCGTCGAATCGATTTGAGTGTTGCGAAAGTTATTCGTGAACGTAGATTCGTCTGTCACCAATATGCACTTCAAAAAGTCCGGATTATTGTCATGTTGATGCAACAACCACCCACAAAACCGCAGTCTTGCTGGAAAATCGTCTCGTCTACGCGATTACCTCTACACGCGTGACCGTAACCGTCGGTTGAAGGTTGCATACTGACCGGACACACTGACCCCGAACCAGTTCTGTCGTCGGGTTGAGCCAGTGACCTTGTACCAGTCGGTGATGTCGCGGCTACAGGAGTATTCAGATATTTTTGATGTTGTAGAGCCCTTTATCTCGGTTCCCTTAAGACATTGGTGTATATGGTACTAAGAAAAATTGCTTATGTTTTCAAGATCTACACGTCGTGTAAAGGAAAACCCCAACTTTGCGGACATCCTGTATAAAGATTAATTTTATTGCGGAAATAATGCTGTGTTTTGTAGTGGAACTGTCATAATTTTGTGTTTTATCGGTCTAGTATGCAAATACTTACTAAAAACATTTTTCTCTGAGGTATAAGGGCTTTGACGTGTGCAATATGTCCAAGGAGCGTACAATTATCAAGATATACCTTTCCCGCCCCTCACGACCCCCACCCCCAAATGATTTTGCTCTAAAATTTTATTCAAAAATGATCAGGAACGTCTGAAACCGCAAAAAACGATGTTTGAGCATTTCTTTTTCGTGTTTGGCCCTTTTGTCCGCCGCCACTGGACCGATTTTCAAAAACTACAAAGCTTTGGCAGCATTGTGTAAAAATTTCATCAAAATCCGAGAGGTACTTCTCGAGTGATTTTAGGATCAGCGGATAGACAGATAGATGGAAATGTCATACAACAACCAAAAAACATAGTACCTTGTACAGGGTCCGTCAGAAAGAACGCATGTTTTTCGAATGGGTACTACATCGAGTAGGCTGGTCCCGTGTCGGTGGGGAAGGGCGTGTTGGATAGTGGGGGAAGTGCCGTTTCAGTTGGCAAGATGGTTTGGAACGTTGAGCATCGTGTGTTCACTTTCGTGTTCCACGTCGTGGGACAGTACCGGACCGTAACACCATTTTGAGATGGGTGGAAGCAACCAACACAACAGGTAATGCGATGAAGAAAAAGCCGCTAGGGCGAATCCGTACTGTTAGAACCCCCAAAAACATAGACAGAGTGAGCAAAGCCCGAATCGTTCCGTCCGTTTGCTTGCCAGTTCCCTAGGGATCCACGCGTGCTCTGTACGTCGCACCTTAAAGAACGATTTAGTGTCCCATCCTAACAACAACAACTGTTGCCAGGGGATTATGCACTACGTGTTCATTTTGACAGCGCATGATTGAACAGTTGGATAACAATGACACGACGTTGTTTATGAGCGATGAAGCACATTTTCATTTACATGGATACGTCAATAAACAAAATTGTCGATATTGGTCTCCAGTGAACCCCCAACAGTTGCATGAGCACCCCCTGCATACCCCGAAAGTTACAGTTGGGTGTGCAGTAGGGCCAACGATGATTATTGGCCCTTATTTTTTGAGGATGATGCAGAAACAACTACTGTGAATCCAGAGCGTTACATCCACATGCTGAACAACTTTTTTTTCAAAACTTAGACGTCGACGTGTCCGTCTCAGAACAGTGTGGTTCCAACAAGACGGGGCAACATCTCGCACAGTTGGCACTTCGATGGAACTTCGGAAAAAATTCCCGGGACGTCTCTTTTCATGGCCCCCTCGCTCCCCGGACCTGTCAACGTGTGATTTTTTTATGGGGCTACCTGAAATCAATGGTTTACCAAAGCAAGCCTCGGTGTCTCGTCGATTTGAAGGAGGAAATAAGCAGAGAAGTAACCCAAATTCCTGCACGGATGCTGTAAATTTTGTTTTACAAAAGGATGGCATGTATACTAAGTAACATATAAATCCGAACACCCAGTTTAAATGGTTTTATTTTAATAAAAGTTGGTGAATGTATTTTACCTTACTGTAAATAACAAGTGAAAAAATTTTCAGCCTTATCAGTTGGACATTTCGGTTTTTATACTGCTTTTTTTTAATTCACTAACGCTCTAAAAATGAATATTTCAGCCGCAGTAAAGAATCAACGTTGGCGGATTTTGGTTCTTGACATCCTTTACGATCGGTTACGATGCCTAGAGTACGGAGACGTGTACGATTTCGTCAACTTAGTGAGTTTGATAGGGGCCGTATAGTGGGACTTCGGGAAGCTGGACTTTCTTTTCGGGCAATTGCAGTTAGAGTGCAAAGAAGTGTAGACACTGTGGTTAGGTGTTGTCAGGCATGGCTTCGAGAAGACCGTACGCAAAGAGCAAGGGGCACTGGACGCCGCCGTAGAACAACAGACCGTGAAGATCGCCGCCTAAGATTATTGGCCTTAAGGGACCGTTTCTCCACTACCAGGTCCATTGCAAATGAATGGTTTGCAGAACACGGAAGACCTATTGGCATGCGAAGTGTTTACCGACGAATGAGAAGTTTTGGCTTGTTTTCATACCGGCCACACTGGGTCCTCCCTTTAACTCGAGAACACCGAAGCAATCGCCTTGAGTGGTGCAAACAACGGTCACTCTGGGATCAGGAATGGAACAGTATTGTCTTTAGTGACGAGTCTCGATTTTGTTTAGGCAAGCACGATGGTCGTGCCAGGGTTAGAAGGCGACGTGGTGAAAGGAGGAATCCACAGTTTTTTGTTG